GCTTGATAGTTCTATAGTTCCATGGGTCTACAGTTCTATGGTTCTATCGTCACTTGGTTCTATGGCTCTATAGTTCTATGGTTCCATGGCTTGATAGTTCTATAGTTCCATGGGTCTACAGTTCTATGGTTCTATCGTCACTTGGTTCTATGGCTCTATAGTTCTATGGTTCCATGGGTCTATAGTTCTGTGGTTCTATGTTCCCATGGTTCTAAGGGTTCAGCTTCTAAATGACTTTCTGAAGTAGTAGTTCCTAATTTTCTTAGTTTTTGCTAAATGTTTGTATTTTTTATATCCTCCACCTGCTTTGGTCACCAGTGAGATCTGCAGACAGAAGAAGACGCAACCAAAAACAGGTTTTCTCCTTTCTGCTTAATTGCAAAAGCAAATCATTTTGCACCTTCTCTACAGTCTCGTCCACCCATTAAAAACAGCAGTTTATGAGACAACTTAACCTGCTGAGGATCAAACCAATACTGTTTATAGAGCAATAACTTTCAGTTTTCCTCACTAAACACCTCTGATTACTTTATTTACAAGAGTCAGAGTCAAGGGGGTTAGAGCTGTGTGGCTACAGTCCAGCCAGAGCAGACGACTAGACTAAGATGATTGAAAGCTGAAGCAGAGGACAGGTATGGGTGACATCACAGAGGGGGGGACAGCTAGCCTGGAGCTGCCTTACCTCCCTCTTGCAGTGCAGGAAGGTGTGATACTTGTAGTGGTGCAGAGAATGGTACAGGCTGTAGATCCGGCAGGTTTCCATGGAGAGCTTCATATCCTGGGGAGGGAAAGAGGACAGCTTAGGCAGATTTATCCGTCATTTAGTTTACACCAGTTTAAAGATCGTTAAGAACAGCTCTCTGAACAATTTCTTTTTTATTTTAAGGTGCAGCCTTAAAAAAATATATATATATAAACAGTAATATAAATATATGACAATTCTAACATTTCAGTTTTTTTCTTTTTATATATATGATGATAAAATATAATAAATATAATAAAATACAATACAATAAACCATTTTACAAAACATTCCTCAGTGTGTGAATGTGTCTGTGGTGCTTCTGGAGAAACTGTCTTAGAGTGTTTCCATGGCGCCCTCAGACCACACTCTGACCTCTTTAACTGTCGGTTTAGCCCTGATCAGCTGGGGCTTCTATGCAGGGATAAGCATGACAGATGGGTGATCTGATGACCTGAGGTGGGGGCGGGGGAGCTGCTCTGAATGCATCTTTGATGTCAGAGTAAACCAGGTCTAAAGTGCCTGGTATAGAGTCTTCATGGCCTCTTTAGTGTTAGCGCTGGGGGGGGGCACATAAACAGCAGTGATGCTAACCACACTGAACTCTCTGGGCAGATAGAACGGCCTGCAGTTAACAATCAGAAACTCCATGTCTGGAGAGCAGAAGCTGGAGACT